GAGGCACCTGCCCATCTTACCAATGAGTAAACAGCTTGCCATCTGGCTGGTGGGGCTCAGAGCTGCAGGAGGGTTTGGCCAAGCTGGACACAGCCCTTTCCTCAGGCAGTGGCCATGGGTGAGAGAGAGGCCAGACCCTCCAACGTCAGGCATGTGGTGGCCTGCCCAAGGCCTCTGTCTCGCCACCTGCCCTCCCCGCCCCAGTGCCCAGGACCCTGCCCCCTGGTGCGTGCTCTCGGTAGTGCAGCCTGAGGGGTGCCGGGTAGCAATGGGACAAGGAGACACTTTCTGATGAACATTGGCTATCTGCCTTCCAGGGGAGACTGATCAACTTCGAGAAGAGGAGGAAGGTGAGCAGCTGCAGCCCCGAATTGGCAGGGATGGGAATCAGAGCTCCCCCTGGTAGAACGCTCCTAGCCCCATCCCCTTGCTGTTACACTTATGGAGAGCGTTGGATTGAGACCGGGAAACCTCTCCCAGTGGAGGGTCGGGTAGAGGTCAGAATTAAGGATAGTCTTTCCTGGAGAGGGACTGTTTGAACCCAGCTCAGAATCGGGTGAGGCCTAGGTTGGGGCAGAGACGAGAGGGAACCCAGAGACTGGCCCCTGTCCCGCCCAGGCCCCGCCCAGCACCCCCACAGGCCACCACATCCTGTCCTTTCCTCTGGCCCCAGGAATTCGAAGTCATTGCCCAGATCAAGCTGCTGCAGTCAGCCTGCAACAATTACAGCCTGGAGCCTGAGCAGCACTTTGGGTCCTGGTTCCGGGCTGTGGAGCGGCTCAGCGAGACTGAGAGGTGAGGCCGAGGCAGGACTCGAGCTCATCACAGGCGGGCGCCAGGGAACCAGCTGTAGAGAGCCTACGGCGTGGGCTCTTGGTCCATCAGGCCCTGGCGCCGGGGGAGACCGGGCAGGCGCTAGGAGGGAGACTTGAGTGAGGCTCCTGGGAGCCTCACAGCTGCCTCTCTGCCCTGTAGCTACAACCTGTCGTGTGAGCTGGAGCCCCCCTCCGAGTCAGCCAGCAATACCCTGAAAGCCAAGAAGAACACCGCCATTGTCAAGCGCTGGAGCGAGTGAGTGCCTGGCGGGCAGGGAAGGGCTCCCCCTGGGCTCAGGGAGGCTGAGCCTGGCCTTGAGGAGGCCAACAGCTGGCACTGGGATCCAGCTCCTCTGTGACCAGCCCTGTGACCAGGGGAGTCATCTCACCTCTCCAGGCCTCAAGTTTCCTCCTCTGTGAAATGGGGTGATGCTAAATGATCGCTCCCATGGCAGGGCCAGATGGGGTGCTGGTGACTGAGCACTCGGCACAGTGCCTAGAGCAGAGTGCAGGAGGGCGGGGGTGGGCTGTGTCCCCCATGGAGGCCTCCCCCAAGTAACCCAGCCCTTCCTCCAGCCGCCAGGCCCCCAGCACGGAGCTGAGCACCAGCGGCAGCTCCCACTCCAAGTCCTGTGACCAGCTCAGGTGTGGCCCCTACCTCAGCAGCGGGGACATCGCAGACGCTCTCAGCGTGCACTCGGCCGGCTCTTCCAGCTCCGATGTGGAGGAGATCAACATGAGCTTTGTCCCGGAGTCCCCCGATGGCCAGGAGAAGAAGGTGACTGACCCCTTCTCACTGACAGCCCTTCGTAGCCCCTCCCTTCCCGGTTCTAGTGTTCCCCACTCCATACCCACAAAAAGAGCCAGGAGGCCCTGGCTCCGGAATAGAACCCCCCAGAGCTGGACCCCAGCTGGGGCGCCCTGCAGGGCTTGGGGCACCTGCTGATCGTGCTGTCCCTGCAGTTCTGGGAATCAACCTCCCCATGGTCCCCGGAGACCTCCGGCGTCAGCTCGGCCTCCAGCACCTCGTCCTCCTCAGCCTGTACCACGCCTGTGGCCAGCGCCCGCACACACAAGCGCTCGGTCTCAGGGGTCAGCAGCTACAGCTCGTCACTGCCACTCTACAACCAGCAGGTGGGCGACTCCTGCATCATCCGTGTCAGCCTGGACGTGGACAATGGCAACTTGTACAAGAGCATCCTGGTGAGCTGGGCGGGCGGCTGTCCCCTTGGTCCCCTTGGTCCCTCAGTCTGCCAGGCAGCAAGCACATGTTGAATGCCATGGGCCACCCTGCCCTCGCCGCCTTCTGGTGGGCCCACAAGGACAGAAATAAAAAAGCCAGTGCTCGGTGGCGACCAGTGCCAAGGACATTAGGCTTAGGGGTGACATCGCAGTCAGGGAGGGCCACACTGATACGGCGCTAGGGAAGGAAGCACTGGGCCACCTCCCGAGGAGGGGGTGTGCCCAGGGGCTTGGAGGAGCAGCACACAGGCCTGAGGTGAAGGGGCAGGGGGAACAGTTGGGGTCAGGGACATGTCGGGGGCTTGGATCTTGTCGGAGGCAGCCAGGGGTCTCTGGCGTTGGAGCAGAGGAGGGGCAGCAGGGACGTGTGACTTACCTTCCTCAGAGGGGACGGGCTGGTGCTGGCAGATGCAGCAGGCGGGTTAGGAGGCTACTGTTGCAATCCAGGCAGAGAGCATAGTGGCTGCACAGGGCTGGTGGCCATGGCGGTGGCCCATGGTGGCAGACACTGGGTATAATTTGAGGGTCGAGATTAAGCCAGCAGGGCTTGCCCACAGACTCTGGGTGTGGAGGGGGACCCTTCTCATCCTCCAGAACTCGGGCTGCAGGTGAGCCATTTGCCAACCCCCACCCCCACCATACTCCACACCTGGGTCAGGTGTCTCATTACACAGTCACCGTGTGACCCTGTGTCTGAGACCTGCCTGTGCTCCCATCCTTGGGGTGGAGGCAGCAGGGACGGCCTCTGCTGACCACCACTGCAGCCTCCAGCCCAGTGCAGGCCTGGCATGTAGGCAGCCCCCGGGCACCCAGTGGCTCTCACCTCCATGGTTGTGTGTCCACCCGACTCCATAACGGTGTCCTGGATGGGGCAGGGTCAAGGGAAGCAGCCCCTAGGGGCAGGTAGTTTCCCCAGGTGGTGTGGGAGGGGGTGGCAGGCTTCTAGGAGAGTAGGGGTTGGGCATGATTGGGAAAGACTCCTTGTTGTTGCAGAGGTGTCTCTGGGGACAGGAACAGGTGGTAAGACCACCACAGACCCAGCACCCAACCAGAGGCTGTGAACCCCTATGTGCAGTGCCGAGGCAGCTCTGAGGGTCCCTGGCTGCCGCCCTCTGGGGCAGCTACTCTGGGACCATTGCCCTGATGGCCTGTCCCCACCCCAATCCAGGTGACCAGCCAAGACAAGGCCCCGGCTGTCATCCGCAAGGCCATGGACAAGCACAACCTGGACGGCGATGAACCGGAGCAGTACGAGCTGGTGCAGGTCATCTCAGACGAGCGAAGTAAGCTGGGGCCGGGCGGCACAGCACCGGGCCCCGGGCCCAGGCACCCCCAGAACGCAGGCAGCAGGGTGGGCGCAGCCTCTGTGCACACACTGACCTGCCCTGGGCAGCCCTGGACATCCCCCTGTCTCCTCACCACCCCCCTGGGCTGCTGGGCCTGCCAGGTGTGAACCTAGTTCAAAGCTGACGTTATTGAGGAGTGAGGAGAAAAGGCTTTTCTCCTGGGCAAGGCAGCCAGATGGCCCCGCCCACAGGCCATTCCAGGGGCACTTTCTGGCTAAGGTGGGAGATGTGTGCTTTAGAAAGAATCGTGACTGCTGTGGACTAAAGCATCAAATAATGTTAAAATCCACACGCACACGAGAACATCTCATACGACACTGTCTTAGTCCGTCTGGCTGCTGTAACAAAATACACAGACCGAGTGGCCTCTAAATGGCAGAAATTTATTTCTCACGGTTCTGAAGGCTAGAAGTCCAAGGTCAGGGTGCATCGTGGTCAGGTGAGGGCCCTCTTCCAGGTCACAGACTGTCGACTTGTGGTTGTGCTCTCAAGAGGAAGGGGGTAGGTAGGGAGTTCTCGGGGGCCTCTTTATAAGGGTGCTGATCCCGTTATGGGAACTCCATCCTCATGACCTCCTCATCTCCCAGAAGCCCCCACCTCCTGATCGCATCACCTTGAGGGGTTAGAATTGCAACGTGAATTGGGGAGGACGCAAACATTCAGCTCGTCGCAGAGGCTGCTAGGGACCATCTCGGTACCGTGAATACTGGGAAAGAGAAAGCCTTGTTAGCACAGACTTGGAGCCAGATGGCCGAGCTCAGAGACCTGGGGCAAGCTCCTCAGGTCCTCTGTGCCTATATTCCCCTCCCACGGTGGAGATAAAGTAGCCAGTGAGTTTATATATACAGTATGTAGGCATGCTGTAAAGGTTAACTAAATATTGTCATCACTATTTGCCTTTCTATGAGCTGCTCGCCCACACCCCACTGTGAGCCCAGACAGTTAGTAATGACCACACACAACCCCTGGAAGTTGTTTTTAAAATCCTCTCTCACCTTCCGGCACCATTTTGGTGAGGTGGGCAGGACAGGTGGGACCTTCATCTTACAGAAAAGGAAGATGCAGGCCTAGATCGGTTAAGGACCTAGGGTAAGAGCCGCGCGGTGGGGGCACAGCAGGCTCAAGGCCGGAGGAGACAGATGGGAAGTCGGAGCCAAAGTAACCTGTGGGGTGCCTGGCACCCAGGCGGCGTGGGGGCCTGCCTTTCTCTGGGCCCCAGAGCCCTTGTCCTGAGTAGGGTAGGATTCAGGAGAGCTGTTCTGGGTTCTAGAAAACCTATTTCAGCTTGAGATCCCGATCAGCAAAGGTGGGGGAGGGCAAGTAGAGCAGAGGGGCGGGAGTGCAGGATGGATGACCCTTTGCCAAGTCCACACTGAGGTGGGGACTCCTGGAGTCAGAGTCCTTTTTAAACGAGAGTCGTCAGGTTTCATCGGTGCCTCAGCAGAGTCTGTCCTCGGGCCAGTGTCATTAAGAGGGGACCTTGGTGGTCTTGGAGTTGAGTTGGGGGTCTCAGGTCTCTGGCTCAGACCTGCCCTCAAGGGGGCTCTCCAGTGGTGGGGTTTTCTGTGGGGCCCCCATAGCCCTGCTGAGCGTCCCTCTACCCCTCCCCCACCAGAGCTGAAGATCCCCGACAATGCCAACGTATTCTACGCCATGAACTCAACTGCCAACTATGACTTTGTCCTAAAGAAACGGACCTTCACCAAGGGGGCAAAGGTCAGGCATGGAGCCAGCTCAACCCTCCCCCGTATGAAGCAGAAGGGACTTAAGATTGCCAAGGGCATCTTCTAACCGGCCCCTGATGCTGGCCAGCCACAGGACCACCTTTCCAGGGTTGGGCTGGCCAGGCCACTAAGCACGTGCAGACCACAGTGGCCCAGGCCAGGCGGGCACCTTGTGCCCAGCCTGTGAGCCCAGGCCACCCCCAGACTGCAGTTCACCCTGAACTTCTCCTGTCGCCGGGATTGACGCCTGCTGGTCGCAGGCTGACCTGGCCTGTGGACCCCTCGCTGCCTTAGGTGCCTTCTAGAAGCTCTCTGGGACCAGAGGACTAGCTGGCTTTGCCAAGGAGGGTTGCCCATGGGTGTGGAGCCCTGCATGCCGCCAGGCACTGCCTTCTGCGCACGTCCCTGACACCTTCCAGGGGTGGGTCACTGCCACTTGTGCCCATGGGCACCCCAGGGCACCCACTCGTCCGCTGGGTCTGACCACTGCAGTTCTCTCCTCGTGCCCTCAGGCACTGGCCGTGCCCTTCAGGAGGGTCCCGGCCCTTCCTCCCACCACTCAAGCCTTCCTCAGGCTGCACCAAAGATTCCATCATCAGGGTCATCTGAGCGGGCGGGAGCCTGGCCACCCCCATCCCAGCCCTCCCTCGGGAGAGGAGAGAGGGACTTTCTCCATGGACCACACTCTTCACCCGGTGAGTGAGGACAGTCTCAGCCGAGTCCCTCCGACGTCAGATCTCATGACACTGCAAGTGCCATTCACCGCTGCATCCTGGGCCACACGAGACCACACGAGACGGGGTTAGTGGGAAAGGAGGACTTGGGGGAGGGGAAGTGAATGTTTGTATAAAAGGCAAAAAAAAAAAAAATGTTTACCGGTTGGGGAGGGGCAATATTTATTTGTTGTAAATAGCAAATGCTAGACTTGAATATTATATTAAAACCCTGTTTCTACTATAGCCTGGGAGCTGTGGTTTTGTTCTTCCATTTCCTGTGCTGACTCCCATATTCTGTATTCAAATAATAAACTTTGCAGGGTTATCGGTGTGTTTTCTGCAGGAGAAGTGAGACGGGCCAGCCACCCCCTCGCTGGTTCCTTACGGAAACACACAAGTTCCCCTTTCACAGAGCATATGTTGACCTGAGGTTCACTCAGCTGGGCAGCGAGCGGTGACAGCCCCTCAGAACCCCTGGTATTAGAGCTTGGAGCTGCTGTCACAGGACTTAGCGATAACCTCTGCAATTTGGGTGCCTTTTAAAAACAACACTGTGACAGAAGATGGTGGAGTACGAAGCTCCGGGCCTCAGCTTCTCCACAGAGACCACCATTAAGCTGCGGGGGGGGACTATCAGAATCAACAGATTTGGGGTTCTGGAACCATCAGACACAGCCACCGGGGGAGAAGCTTGACGAAGGGCCGTGCTGCCGAGCTTGCACGGGTAAGGAAGTCTCTGCCAGGTCACACGCTGACTGCAGAGACAAGGGGACAGACACTTCAGTGACTACACACAACAGGGAATGCAGACTTTGTGAAAATAGTTCAGAAAAGTCACTATAGAAACGGAAGGAGCCACCCCTGAGGAGGGGGAGAAGCTGATGTCCTGAGTTACCACATTGCAATACCCAATATCCAGTTCCCAACAAATGACAAAGCTTACAAAGAAACTGGAAACGGGGGCTCATTCACTGGAAGAAACAATTTGGGGCCGGCCGAGTGGCTCAGCTGGTTAAGAGCTTGTTTGGGAGCGCCAGCTCTGAGCAGCAGGGCCGCAGCTCGAATCCTACTTTGAGGGCCAGTGACGCTCATCCTCTACAGCTAAGACGATGAACAACAGCTCAACCTGGAGCTGGGCTGCTGTGAGTCGCCTGCGACGGCATAGGCTGCAGTGGGGCTGCAGTGGGCTGCCGTGAGCTACGTGAGTGGCTGGCAGCCAGCGTGAGCGGCCGGGAGTGGGCGAGAGCTGCCGTGAGCCGCTGTGAGCGGCCGACCAATGACCGGCAACCAATTGCCTCAGCCGGGAAGAGAGCAATGATAATACCAACATGGGCCAGTGAAGCGGTGTCCTCCACAACTAGACTGAAGAACAAAACAGCAATTTGTCTACCTGTCTGTTCCCCTCCCCCAATTCTCCAAAGCTGTTCCCCTCCCCCAATTCCCCAATAAAATCTTAAAAAAAAAAAATGTGACGCACTCTCCCAGACATTGAAATTACTGGCCGGGTCCGGTCCGCAGGGCCTCTCAGCATGGGCCGCACATTACTACCGACTTGACAGAAAGAGAGAGCATTGTAAGAAGACTAGGCACACTTGTATGTCAACAACATACACTGGAATTCTATCCCTGAGGAATGGCGCTCTGATCCGTGCTGCAACAGGGATGGGCCCTGAACACATTATGATTCCACTTTATAAGAAATAACAGGATAGGCAGACTCATTAAGAAAGAAAGAATAGATGATTGGGTGGGGGCGGGGAGATCTATTGCTTAATGGGTACAAAGTTTCTGTTTGAGTTGATGAAAACGTTTTGGAAGTTGATAGTGGTGATGGTTGCGCAACAGTGTGAATGGAATTAATGTCATTGGATTGTACTCTTAAAAATAGTGATATCAGCATATTTTATGTTATATATGTTTTACCCCAATGTTTTAAAAATAACATTTGCAAAGACCATTTCCTGGCAGAACTTTCTCTCTGAGCCGTCACCCCCACCCCACAGTGAAAAAAGAATGGGGGACAGAGAGGGAAGACCTTGCCCACCCCCGATGTTGTGAGCTTTGGGGTCTCAGAACTGGGTTTGAATCCTGGCTCTGATGGCTTGGGGCACATGACCCTTCTCGGGGCCTTGTTTCCCTCTAAATATCGATACCTGTCTCAAATGGGGGTTTGCAGTGTCCACCTCATGGCCACAGTGAGGTCAGGCTGGTTAAGCCCTCGGCGAGGTTGGTGCCAAGCCCCAGGCGGCACAGAGGTGAACATGGCCCCAACTCAGACCTCTGCCTCCTGTTCCCTGACTGCCAGAGCCATTGGGCGCCACCCACGGCCCTCTTCCCGGTGGGGCGCCCGGTACTCAGCCCTTTTGTGCCCTTGGCTTTCGACACTGCAGTGTGATTATTCTCTCTCTGACTTGCATGCAGCTGGAGGCAGAATCCATTTCTCTTCCCAGGCCAGTTCCCCAGACCCTGGTTAGAACAGAGGCCACTCCTTGTACCCCAGTGGACTTGGCTATAGCTGGGCTGCACTGGGCCCCGTACCAGTGCTGTAATGGTGACTGAGGCCCTCCGTCCTCCAACGGGGCTGTGGGAGCAAAGACAGACGCCAGATTGAGGGAGATGAGGGTTTATTCAGGAAGAGCTCAGGAGGGAGGTGGGCCCCTGGGGTCCCACCCTGTGGCCTCTTGGGTCCAAGGACATTAGAAGCCGATGGCTACGGGCATCTGAGCCCCCTCAGAGTCACCCGTGGGGGGCACGGGAGCGGCCTCAGAGTCATCTGTGGGTGGCACAGGGGCAACCTCAGAGTCATCTGTGGGGGGCACAGGGGCGACCTCAGAGTCATCTGTGGGGGGCACAGGGGCGACCTCAGAGTCATCTGTGGGGGGCACGGGTGCGGCCCCCTGTCCGGTCACTGTGGGCAGTGCCTGGTAGGTCAGGGTCCAGTAGCGCAGGTAGTCGGTCCTCAGGTGTTGTTTCATGGAACTGCCATCCACCTTCTTGTTGATCTCCAGGTAGTAGCCGCTTTCCGGGGTGTAGGGATACCATTGCGTGGGCACGGCTGATTGGCCTATGTTGGGGTCCCTGCATAGTGAGAAACAAGGCTTGGTGGTGGGGGCTGGAGGCTCACGGGAGACTGGGGCCCTCTTGCCTGGGCAGTCCTTAGCCCTCGGCGCTGACCCGAACCATCAGGACACCTCATCCCCATACACAGATGGGGGTACTGAGGCCCAGGGAGGTTAAACGTAAGTGAGGGCCAAGGTGGCAGGAGGCCCTGGACTCAGCCTCACCCCATCTTACCCAGTTCTGGCGAAGTTGGTCCAATAGGCGATCATAGTCTTGGAGACAGTCCTGTCCTGTGCCCGGTAGCCCAGGGGGGTGGCGAAGGGTTTCCCAAAGACGTACTGGATGTCATCGGCGTGGTCGGCCCCCACCCAGCTGGGGTAGACAGGCATCCGAGAGGGATGGGAGAACAGGTAGGTGTAGGTCTTGGCACTCCTGAGGAGGGGAAGGGAGGCAGCCCAGGTTGGCAGGGTGCTCACCTGGGGCCACCCGGCCCAGAGGTGAGCCCTGGAGCGTGGCCCTGAAGGGAGCAGGGAAGGGCTGGGAATTCTCCCAGAACCTGGGATCCTTACACCCAGGAAAGGGAAAGCTGTGGGCCAGATTCATGGATTCATGGGTTCTATGATTTCAACCGCATTTAAACTTCACCTCCACAGAACATATTGAGGCGTCTTCCTCCTATAGTTCAGTATCAAGAAAGATGATTTTCTCTGCAAGTGAATTCGTATTTTCATTTGATGGGACAAGGTATATGCCCTCAGATGTTTCCCTGGACTGACAGGAAGCTCAGAGCTAAAGGTATTGCTTAGTTGCTGCAAAGCTTTCACCCTAGACTTCTAGGTATAATTTTATCTTCCTACTTTTTAAACATTCCTAAGTCATTTTTTATGTCCACTGGCTGTTATTATGTGGAGTTTACAGTGTGGCCACAGCCTTGCTCTGAAAGTTGGCAAAGTCAAAACCCACGACAGAGACATCTTCCAGTGTTCTCTCCTACACGGCATGAGGGATGGAAGGCAGACTCAGGAGATGTGCAGTGGGGAGGACTGTGTGTGTGAGGGAGGTTTTGGAAGGCCCCCTGAGGCTGGTAGCTGAGCAGGGGCTTCTCGAGTCTTGTGGGGCCTAAGCAAAGCGGATGGTGCAGGCACACGTGGGGACCCCGGCACGGCTTGCCCCGCCTCCCAGACCCCTCGGGGCCGCGGTGTGCAGGTGCAGGACCCCCAGTGGGCCTCCCCCTGCCCAGGTCCTCACTTGGCGTTGGCTCTGTGCTGGGCCAGGGTGATCTCCGTGGGCACCAGGAAGAGGATGTCAGTCTCGAAGTCTACCACGGTTTTCTTCTTGGCCTCCTGGGATGCGTCTTTGGCCCAGGGCGCAGTGTACATGTCAAAGGTGCTGTTGGCACCTCTGGCCCCCTTGGTGATGGTGAGTCCGCTGACCAGCTTGAAGAAGTCCTCACTGCAGGGACAGAGCCAGTACTGGACCTTCTCCCCAATGCCAGTGGGACGGGGTCTGCGCCCCACCCCCCAGAGCGCTGCAGGCGGGCCCCTCCATGGTGCTGACGTCCCCACTCTGCTGTGCCGCCCCCAGCTGCCCCACTCCCTCGGGAACCGCGTGGGCCCTGCACCCTACGTACTCCGTGACAATCTTCTTGTCCTTGTTGATGGCTGGCACGTCAATGCTGGCGAAGATGTGGCCATCCATGTTGTTGGTGCCAGCGATGTAGTCGATGTCGGCGGCGTTAGCGAACAGGTTGACGGGGTCATCAGGGATGAAGTCTCCATCGACGACAGGGATGTAGCCCAAATAGTGCAGCATGGGATCTACGCGGAAGAGCCACGGGTCTCGCACCTTCCGTGCCCGCCCGCATGCCCCCCGCCGCGGTGGAAAGCTCCCGCTTCCTTCGCTCGAGACCAGGGTCCTCAGCCTGTCACTACGACACTGGGGCAGGATGCCTGTATGGCGTAGGGGCCACCCTCGCACCGTAGGTGTTTAGCAGCTTCCCTGGCCCTGGCCCGCTGGATGCCAGCTGTACTCCCTGCCCAGTGTGACAACCCAAACTGTCTCCAGACTCTGCCATGTGATCCCTGGGGACAAAATCGCCCAGGCCAAGAACTGGGCTAGAGGCTAAGCCTGTCCTCTCACGGCCGTGGACATCCCTTTTCTCTCCCTGTCCTCCCGCTGGGCCTAAGTCAGGAGTAGGAAGACCTAAGCAATGGAGGGGCAATGGAGAAAGGGGCATCTGTGTTCTAGTCTGGGTTCTAGTCTGTTGGCCAGAAACTGCCCTCCAGACCCCTGAACTGACCCCAGAAGGACGGTTAGCTGGCTTGGGATGGGTGGATGCACTGGCCTCCATCAGGCCCAGCCTGGTTTCCTCCAGTTGGGGAATGGCTGGTTTGCATTTGGGGCCATGTCGTTTGCTTTGGTTCTGTTCTGCCTAGCACTTGGGGTTCAATTCACAGTAGATGAAATGCAAATGAGGGGCCCCACTGTACTTTGCCTCAGAGGAATGAGGAAGAGAGAATTCTAGCCTATTGGGCTGATGATGTGGACACGTTGGCTAATGGGGTCCCCTAGCCTTCCTGGGGTACAGAGGAGCAGAGCTGGAAGGGCCAAATGCTACAACAGGTATTCAGTGAGTGAGTGTTGAATGAATGAGTGGAGGAAAGAGTGAATGTTCACCTAGTACAAAGGCTTTGGTCTGGGGTCCCTAAAACCGCCAATGACTGTGCACGTGCGCCTTGCTGGAGGGTGGGTCCAATGGTTCATCAGCTTCTCTAAGGGGCCGTGACCCACGGAGGACAAGCAGAAGAAATGGCCCCTTCCTCTCCTTACAGCCAAGGCCGCTGAGACCTGGTGGCACGGAGCTGCCGAGGGAAGCCACCGAGCTGGTGACAGGACCGGGCCTCAGGCCCAGCATTTCCTCCCTTCTCCAGGAGCATGGCCCTCCCCCCACATGGAGCCCCATGCCCCCTGCCCAGCAGCCCCCACTCACACTCCATGCCTGCCAGGGGCATCTTATAGGCCAGCGTCAGGGCGCGGGGGTCAGTGACCTTCAGACACTTGGCCATCCTGGCAGTGTCGTCCATCGGGCAGCCCACCTTCTTGGCAATCTAGGAGTTGGGGGGAGGGAGGTAGATGAGGCCACTGCTGGGGCCTCTGACGGTGGGGTACAGGACAGAGTGGAAAAGAGGAGCCCCCCTCCCCCAGCATCTACGCCGAGCCCCTCCCACGCACTGTGGCTCCTCCTCACCCTTTTGGCCCAGAAGAGCGGATTCTTCTGGATGGCCCAGGGGGTCAGCGCCACGCCGCTTTGGCTGATGGCTCGCCGGATGAGGCCCTTGTTGTAGGGAGACAGGATCTACACGACACACAGGGGTCCTGTCACCAAGGCCTCGCCTTGCCTGTCCACCCTGGACTCGGCCAAGGACAGCCAGCGCGTCAGCTCCAGCCCTGCCCCTCCTGGCCACCTCGGCGCCCTGCCACACCCATGGGGGTAGGCCCTCCCCTTCCTGGGGTCCCCAGACCTGCAGAGAGACGCTGGCACCTCCAGCTGATTCCCCAAAGATGGTGATGTTGTTAGGGTCCCCTCCGAAGGCCGCAATGTTCCTCTTCACCCACGCAATGGCCATGTGCTGATCCCGGAGGCCGTAGTTACCTGGGAGTGGGGTGGGGGCAGGGCCTTCATTGGGGCCCCTCGGCCGGGGCTGGGGGTGGGATGAGAAAGTCCTCCATGTGTGGAGACCCGGGTTGAGCCCCAGGATGGCACATGGTGTGTCCTCGGGAGGCTGGCCGGGGGGTGTGCTGGAGGGCCAGGTGGCTCAGCTCTCCCTGCCTGCCACACACCCTGCTGTCTGCCTGTCCTGCGGTTTCTGTGTCCCCCCAAAATGCCGCCTCAATGTCTCATCTGTCTCTTTTGCTCTACTCACTGTCCCTACTCCCTGGACCCTCTCTGGGTCTCAGCCTGTCGGTCAGCCTGTCTGGCAGCCTCTTCTCTTCCACTACAGCTGCCGAGGGGCTGCTGCGTCTCACTGACCATCTCCAGCTCCCTAACTCTGCGACTAGGATTTTGGGCCTTTCTGGGGGCTGTCAGGAGTTGTCTGGGGATGAGGGGCAGCGAAGGGTGTTCCCGCTGGGCTTCTCCACCCCCATGCTCAAGGCGCCCGGCGGACCTGGCAGGTTGGGGTCCCCGGTGCTGAGGAAGCCCAGGGGCCCGACGCGGTAGTTGAAGGTGACCACGATGACGTTGCCCCGCGTGGCGATCTCCTCGCCGTCGTACAGGTAATTGTTGAGGAAGTTGGCCCCGTGGCCGGCCCCCATGAGGAAGGCACCTCCATAGATCCAGATCATGACGGGCAGGTTTCGGGAGACTGAGGCAGGGGGAGCAGGCCTGGTGACCTCAGGTGCCCCCTCCGTCTGCCCTCCCCACTCAGGGTCGCTCTCAGGGAAGATCAGCTCTGGAGCCCCAGACAGGACCCAGGGGCAGGACGGGGGCCTCCCTGCAGGGTGAGGGGGACTAGAGGGTGTGGGAGGGCGAGCAGACCTTCCTTCTTGCCCTGGGGGACCCAGATGTTGAGGTAGAGACAGTCCTCTTCTCCGTAGGTGTTGTCCTGAGTGATGGTGGCCTGCAGGCATCGCTTCTTGAAGTCCTTGGCCTTCAGGGTCCCTGTGGGCGGCCAGAGGGGCTGGCCTGAGGATGGCGGCCCCCCCCACGCCACCCCCAGCTGCAGGGCCTGCCCAGCACCCACCCGCTCACACCTTGCCAGCCGGGGTGTCGCTGGGGGTTCTCCAGGGCCTTGGGGGGAGCGGCGAAGGGGATGCCCTTGAAGATGTCGACATAGTCGCCAAAGAGACCCAGTTTCTTGTTGACGCCTTCCACGAAGCCTCCTTCTGTGTACACTGCACCCAGCTGGCAGGAGAGGCGGGCGGGCTCAGGCGGGCTCAGGCGGGGTGGCCCCCACAGGAGCCGGGGGTGACCTGAGCAGGCCCCGTGTGCCAGAGGCTCCCCAGAGACAGCTTCAGGGAGGGGCCAATCTGCACCTGAGACCAAGACCCCTGCCACCTGCCCTCTTATTAAAGCAGCGGCTTACCCCTCCCCGGGGCTGTCCCGCCCCTGGATCTCAGGAAGCTGGTAGAACCAGTGTGATCCCACTTGGGGAAGCCTTCCATCAAAGCCAGGAGAGACGGGGTGGAGACTTGAATTCTGGCTGTGGCCGCCTAGCTGTGACCACGAGCCTCAGTTTCCCCATCTGTAAGATGGGTGGTAACCGTGTCTCCCTCTTGGTCTGTTAGCTGCCAGCAGGGGGAGGCGCTTCGTGCTCACTGGCTGTCTCCTGTCCAGCCGTGAGCTACCTTAGCCGAGGGGTCCTGCCTTCCCCTCCCTCATCTTCCGCATGGTGTTTAGCTGGCCAGGAGGTGGTGGCCCAGCTCCAAGTCCTCACAGCCCCTGTGGTCCTTGCTGGGAAAGACCGCACCCCACAGGCCATCAGAACCACTGCGGTGCACCCAGCCCTTCAACTGACTTGGCCCCACATGGGCCAACACACCCAGCCCTCTGTAACCCTGGGGGCTGGAGCTCATCTACCCCTTGTCCCCGCAGGGAACAGCGGCTTTCCTGTTTGAAGTCACCCTGCTGGGGACTGACGCTCTGACCTCAGGGCCAGACATTATCCCCTCCTAGTGCAGCCTCCGACCTGTCCAGGGCGGCTGTGGCCGGTCACAGCTTCCTGGCTCTCGCCTATGCTAATCCCAGGTGGGCAAGGGTAGGGCAGCCCCACACCCCAGGCCAGGCCAGGACCTTAGCCACCCCGCTGGGTGGGGCTGGGCAGAGGGCCCAGGGGCAGGCAGAGGCCTGATACCTCTCTCTCTGCCTCTCTCGCTCTCTCTCTCTCTCTCTTTCTGTCTCTCTCTCTCTCTGCCTCTCTCTCTCTGTCTGTCTGTCTCTCTCACTCTCTGTCTCTCTCTCTGTCTCTCTCTCTCTCTTTCTGCCTCTCTCTCTCTCTCTGTCTGTCTCTCTGTCTCTGTCACTCTCTCTGTCTGTCTGCCTCTGTCTCTCTCTGTCTCTCTCTCTCTCATCCCAAAATGAGTCTTCTTGTTCCAGACTTCTGGGCATTTTCCCTGACCAGCCTCCCTGGCTACTGGGATGGGGCACAGGGCCAGGTCAGTACCTCGGGGACTGCGACGTCACCTCTCAGGAGTGTCTCTGTGTGACTGAGATTGGTCTGAGGACTCCAGAGTGGCAGAGCCAAGGGCTTGGGGACCCTGGCCATCCTGACAGTGTGTGTGTGTGGGTTCTGCTGGCTGCTGGAGCAGCATGGCGAATGCCTGACCCTTTCAGCACTCAGAAAAGGACCCCTTGAAGAGAGTGACCTCTCGGTGACAGAAGGGGCCAGGACCAGTACCTGAACCTCCAGGGCCCAGTGGCAGGTCCCAGGGCAGCAAGGGTGCAGAGAACAGGGTCTAAGAAAGCAGGGTGAGGGGTGGGAAGACAGCAGGCCGGAGAACAGCATGGTAGGGGGTTGGGGTCCCCTATTCAAGCCTGCATGTCGCTGTTGGGGTTTCTGTGGTGGCAGAGCTCACCCACAGAAGAGCAGATTTTATAGACTCCCCAGGAGCCTCCTGACTCACCTTGGAGGCAACTGGCCACTAGAAAACAGAGGAGTGTCACCCCCTCTTAAAAGAAGGGGGTTACGCTGGGAGCCAGACTCAGGGTGGGACTAGACCAAGTCCCAGACTCCTGTTCAGTCACTGGGGGCTGTGTGATGCTGGGCAAATTGCTTGTCTGCTCGGGGCCCCCGTCTCTCCTTCTGTAAAAAGGGGACGACCTCGACATGTTATCCGGAGAGAGGAAGGAGCCAGAGGAGGGGGTGTTGTGGGTGAGTTGCCAGACTCAGAAAATAAGAATTCAGGGTGCCTCAAGTTACATTTGAATTTTAGATAAACAATACATTTTTTGGTTTGTTTTTAGCATAAGCACATCCTCACTAATGTGTGGAACGTACCTATACCAACAATTATTCGTGGTTTATGAAGTTCACATGTAATTGGGCATCCTGTATTTTATCTGCTCCGGAGTCGTCATTCTGAATGAGAATGCACAAAGCGCAGAGTAAGCGCCCAGGAAGTGCTACTATGCTCGGTGCTGGTTCTTTCTCAGGCTGGCTCTTTCTGCCCATGACTCGTCCATCTTCCCTTCACTGTGCAGGTCCCCAGTTTCCAGATCAGTGCATTGGGAAGAGAGGGGCCCCTGCCTTCTCTGCTGGGCTCCCACTTACCTTCGCAGCGCTCATTACTGCTAAGCAGCAGGTGAGGCTCAAAACGACCAGCTCCAGGCGCCCCATGGTGTGTGCCTGCCTCTGGGTGGCCCTGACTCCGGCCCAGGGCTATTTATGGGGCTGGAACCGCTGGGAGCCCGACTTGGCAGCTGCCTGCAGAGGGTCCATTTCCCCCCCTCCCTCTGTCCCTCTCCCCAGGCTGGCCACTCTCCAGGCAGTGCAACGGGGCCAGGAGACAGCTGCCGTTTTCAGCCAGGCTCAGGCTGGGCCAAGGTCATGCAGGCGTGTGATCACACACACGTGTACACATGTGCAGGGATGGTCCACCTTTCCCAGGGTTGGCTGTTCCCAGGTTCCCTGGTGCCCACAGTGCACCTGTGCAGGTTACTGCCTACGTGGGAGTAGAGGCAGGTGGCACTGGGCAGGGGCTGCGAGGGGTGGGGCTTGGTTGGGTGCAGAGTGCCCTGCATTCTGGCTCATTTACAAGATCTTGGTTTCACCCTCAGAGAAGTGGGCATGCTTTGTCTCCATGCCCTGCCTGCTCCCCAACCCGTCAGCAGAGAGAGTTTATAGGGGACTGGGCATATGAATTCTGGGACAGAGGTGGCCAGTGCGGCAGACCCTTGTTCCCGAAGGCCCACTGGTGTACAGTCTGAGCTGGATGTGGGGGCCCAGAGCATCACCAGGTGCTCCTGCCCTCAGGGTGTGGGGGAGACCTCACGTTCAGCATGATGAATCCTGGGGTGGGAGGGTAAGAGGTGCAGGTGGACAGGGAGGTGGGGGTGGGGGGGCTCTAGCCTGCTGGGCTTCCCCGAGGTAAAGGAAGACCTGGATTTCTAGCCAAAGAAATGCCCCCAAGCAAAGCCCCTGGGGCACACCCTGGCAGACTGACATACAGAGGCAGAGACAGAATTGAGTACGGAGGTAGGAGATAGTAGCAAAGAGGCCGCTACAATTCTCAGTGAATGTGTTTGGTTTTGGAACCCGAGAAGGTTATAAAAAGTGAAAGTCCACCATGGACGAAGCCTAAGGTGCTTGCCTTTGAGGAGTCTGGCCACACAGCCATCTCCAATAATGGGGCTACATTTGGGAGCCAGAGGACAGCCAGAGCCCCGCCCAGGCCAACAGCCCGTCAGACTGGGCCTTGGCAGCCCCTTTGCTGCCCCGAAGCCAGTGCTTCAAACACAGGCCACAACCCTGTCTGTCTGACCTGGATCTATAGATAGAGGTCAGTCTGTCTGGCTGCCTCCGTCATCCAGGGCCCAGATCTTTTGTGATAATAGGTGGGGATGGGTGGGTGGCCAGTGGTGGGATGAAGTTAGGAAGGACCTTCCCCACCCCTCTGCTCATCCCTGCCAGGCCCTCCCCTTTCCACTCCAGTCCCGTGGTCACTTGAATGTTAGCGGCCCCCTGCCACCATGAAGGGCTCTTAAGGGACTCAGGGGCCCTTGAAAGCAAGACCTGAGGCTGAAAAGGGCTGTTAGGAGACGGCTGTTTTACCCACTCAGGTAGCTTTGGAGACATTCGACAGCTGCTGGGTGTCTTCATTCACCCACCTAAAGTTTGGTCCACAACCTCCAGGCTGCATACCAGGGCAAACGGAAGTCTTAAAAGTCTCCTGCACAAATATTGGTAAACTGGTAACCTGAACTTGTCCCAACTGCCGGGAACACAGTTTGGTCAAATATTTAAAGTGGAGATAAACCACTGAGTTTGTATTAGTATGTTTTACTGGCTCGTGGCTAAAATTTTAGAATGAAAACTATAAGGTATGTTTGTGTATTGATGTAGGGGTGTACACGTGTGTATTATCTATGCATACTTTTCCATCTCCAGTGGTGTTACCAAATTAAGTTATAAAATCCCTTAAAGGAGCTCTATTCCAATTGGCTTAGAGAGAAATGAACACTTATATAAACGGAGTACTCCCTAAGCCAGCGGTTCTCAACCTTCCTAATGCCGCGACCCCTTAATACAGTTCCTAATGTTGTGGTGACCCCCAACCGTAAAATGATTTTCGTTGCTACTCTATAACTGTAATTTTGCTAGTTATGAATCATAATGTAAATATCTTTTTGTTTTCCGATGGTCTTAGGCGACCCCTGTGAAAGGGTCGTTCGACCCCCAAAGGGGTCACGACCCACAGGTTGAGAACCGCTGCCCTAAGCCCTCGGAAGTAGATAAACTAACCCAAATGCTTTTCAAGTTCAATGACTTGGGCAAATCTTTGACAAGATTAGTTCAATAGTGTTGGTTTAATAAAAACAACTGTCTCCGGAGTTATTAACATATAATATGAGCACACATTTTTATTCTTCTTGAGTTTACTAGTCAAATAAGGTTACAAATAGTTAACAGGGACAAATAATTTGGGACAATGCGAGTTCCGAATCCTGGTCCAGGGACCTGGCGGGAAGTTCAAGGACAGACCTTGGGGGCCTGAGGTGCCCCTGAAATTGGATGCACATGTTTCCGGGTGTGCGGATTTCTCTGGGGAAAGATTCCATGGCTATCAGCAGACGCTTGGAGGGTCTATGTCTTCCCAAAATGTCTAGGCTGCAAGTAACAAAGTTCTGAATTGATTGATAATGTAGAAAACTCACCCAGTTGATTTAATGTCACATAGAGCTTAGGCAAATATTTAAAAAAATTGTTTCCCAGGTTGGAGCACATTCTGTGAGGTCAAACACACCTGTGTTGACATCACACAAGACAGACATTGCAAGAGACACAGGCCCAAGCCTGGTACTGCCACTCAACAGCTGGGTGGTCCGGACCTGTGTCTTCACGTCTCCGAACGTCCCCGTGGATACTTCTCTCAGAGACTGTATGACAAGTTCACAGCACCATAAATATCAGGGTCTACAATTCTTATCTTATCGTTTACAAGGTGCTCCAGAAGGAACAGTTAACATTTGTTTCCAGGCAGAGAACTATCCATATAAAAATTGTAGGGAACCTGGCTGTATGTCAGCAGACATTCTAAGCACAGAGAAAAGGGTGATTTGGAGCTGTGACTATATACCCGCAGCCATTTTTGAATCAGCAGTAGTGGCCCAGTCTGCTGGCTGAGGAAGGGGTGATGGGCTCAGCTCTGGCTCAGGTGGCTCCGTGGGAGGTGGGAGGGCAGGCTCGGCCCCACCTGGGACACTTCGCTGCCACTGGTTTCACTCCGGGCAGCTGGGGACAAGGCCTGCTTCCCGCAAACCTCTCAAGAATGTGTACATCTGGAGGGATTAACACGAGGCTGCAGGACCCTCCGGGACCCAGGGCCTGGGGTTACTTCTGGCGGCGCTTACACCACCCGCCTAGCGAGGGGCTTCGGGCCTGTTCTCAACCCCCAGCATCGCCCACATGAGGTCACTGAATGATGGCATGGCGGGCGCCCAAGCCCCACGACAAGCGCTCCAACACGCACACTGACACCGTATCTTTCGGAAAATGTATTTAATGAGGCCAGTTTGAGCTGGCCTGGCCTTTGTCAGGCTACCCCAAATGGATGGGATCAAACCCCAGGACAGTCTCTGGCCACCAGGCTCCTCGTGCCGTGGCTGCCATCAGTCACGAGACCCAAGCCAAGACCAGCCCCCCGGCTGCACCACCTCCAGCTCCAGCTCTTGCTGGTCTGGTCTCAGCCAGAGGGAGCAGTGGGGCTGGCCCCGCCCACTGGGCGCTGGGCTGGCTCATGGCTGCAGGAGTGAGGGCACTACCTTCGGGGGATGTCCCCAAGCACCCAGGGCATGATGGCAGCCCCAAACAGCAAGTCACAGGCAGGACTGGGTCACCTACACCCAGTTCCTTTGAGGGGCCTCCCGGGCTGTTCCTGGGCCACTCGGGCGACAGCTGGCGGCCCCGGGGAGCCCTGGCTGGTGCTGCCTTGGGCCCAGGCTACGTCACACGTAGTCCAGCATCTCCGTCTCCATCTCATTCTCGCTCCCATCGGACGGCTTGAAGTCCTCCTCCTCCTCCTCCTCCTCCTCGTCTCCCCCAGACTCGTATGTCAGCTGCTCTTTGCCACCGTCAGCCTGGGCCGGGCTGGAGAAGAGAGCTGGGCCAGGAGACAAGGCCGTGTGTCCCATGCAGGCTCTGGCAGCCCCTGGGCCCCCAGAACAGGCTTTTGGGTGCCTGGGCTCAAGCTCTGGTAAGCCGCCTTGGAGTAAGGGTGGCCAGGGTATCTGGGACTTGGGAACTTCAGGGGGACACTGAGGCTGACAGCTGTGCAAACCACTTCCCCAGAGGTGCCGCAGGCGGCTTCATGGGCCCAGACTCCCTGAGAAAGTGCAGGGCATTTCGTGAGAGCTTTTTTTCTGGGAGAAGGGTCCATAGCCTTGAATAGATTCTCAGAGGGGGCTGTGTCCCAAACGGGGCTAAGAACTCCTGCTCCCGTGAGCTCCGTGGGGGTATGGCACGGTCTGGGACGCCCCCTCCGAGCCTAGGAGGAACCCGCTGGGAGGGGCCCTGTCACTTATGCTCCCCCAGCCTCATCAGACTCATGGCCCGGAAAGTGCTCACTGCCCTCCTCACGGCCCCAGTCAGCAGGGCTGCTTAGTCGCGGGGAGGGACAGAAGTGGGCAGACCGCACCCATGTGCGGCTGGAAGATGTAGGAGGGTGTCAGGGTATAAAGCGGTGGCCCCGATGGCAGCCCCTCCCCTCTGGGTCTTAGA